GCAGGGCACTTACAGCGCTGTATCTCCCTGGGTACACCGCTGCAGGTACTCCACATCTCCGAGAGGAATAACAGCTGCAGCGGAGTGGCTACGACTCACGGGTGTGAGTGTAAACACTTGCAGCGCTGTACTAATCACCTTGTCAAGTGGCCAATCCTCTCCATTGTTGTGTCCGGCTGCAGGAATGCAGAAGTGCCGGTTTCAAAGCTCGTACCACAGAGAAAAGCAAAGAGTTTGCAGCTTGCTTTGAGTGAGTAAATGAATGAGCAGGGGGCCGGGAGTTCGGAACTTGCAAAATAGAGAGCTGACATGCTCCAAAAAGCACTCTCTCTCCCCCCACACTCCCTGCCACAATCCACCTCCCCACCCCGTTTTGAAAAGCACGTTGCAGCCACATGAATGCTGGGATAGCTGCCCATAATGCACCGCTCCCAACACAGCTGCAAATGTTGCAAGTGTGGCCACACCACTGCGCTGGCAGCTGGCAGTGTGGACAGACTGCAGCGCTTTTCCCTACTCAGCTGTACGAAGACAGGTTTACCTCACAGCGCTGTACAGCTGCAAGTGTAGCCAAGGCCTCAGTGTGTAACTATGTGACAGGAATGCAGGCACCTCACTCCCACCTGCCCTTAGCATGAGGAAACCTTGTCTGTGCTTGCTGTGGGTCAGCTCTCCAGCACCACCAGCCTCTGTCAACACAAGAAATGCCTTCCAGGCCTCTGCAAGCCCTGCTCTCTCTTTACAGGTTAATGACAGATACACTCCCATCCCTCAGTCCTCTGAGCATCTCCCTGGAGTGCCCAGCCCCTGGTCCACTGGACACTCACAGAATTCCCAGATCCTTTGTTCCCAAAGGAATAGCACAGTACAGCTTACTGGTCACACCGTAGATCACAGTTCTGGTTCATGCATGGTACTTAGATTTGCTTATATAGAAAGCAAGTATCAGTTTATTTAACAAAGAACAGAAATTCAAATCATGGCAAGTAGAAATATTGGAATCAAAGGGTTGCATATAAAATAAAATCATAACATGCATAGTAAACTTACCTGCCAAGACACTGTCATGTCATATAGACCAAAAGTTCACCCCAAATCCTTCCAGAATATTACACCCAGGCTTGGCTGTGATCTTCCCTTCACAAGACAAGTCACATTGTCTTCTTGCCTCTTCAGTGGAAAGATCCTGAGTTTGTCTGTGTCCCTACAGTTATAGTCCAAAATTCCATTGTCTTCTCTTGCAAACATAATAATCCCTGCTGCTTGTGTTTTCCTGTCCTATAATCTCCTCTGGAGAATCACGCTGTTTGGAGTGGTTCACAACTGTGAGTGCCCATTTGTCAAGAAACAGGGAGAGACCCCAAACTGGTTGTGTGTTCTATAATTAGATGTCACCGACCCAGAAACAAATGTGAACTCCTGAAGCACTGTAACACTCTTACCATAGATTCACAGACAGTCCCCTTGTGCATTCCAGTCTATCTTGCCACCCAGGAAAGCTGGATTTAGTGATAGTTGGTTGCTATACACAAAAGATCACAAAATATTCAGGTTGCTCCCAGTCCCAACCTGAGTGAGTCTATGGTTTTAAAAAATGGCAGAGTTGCAGTAATCTGGCAGCTCTGAATGTCTTTTAGGGCCACACCAGGTTGACTCTGGGGATTTCTGCTTCTGTTTCATAGCTCCAGCCCCGTGAGAGTCCAAACAACAAAAAAGAGGTGACAAATTTTCTTGTCAGCTATTTTTATATCCTTCTTCCAGAAATCAAGCTGAAGGGATGAGCCCTTTTGCACGTAGCCTCTTCATGAGTGTGAAGGGGAAATTAACAAAGTCTTTGTATTGTGATGTCCCACAATGGCCCATTTAGTTTTGGTAGCCTTCTTGGCAGTTAGGCAACGATCCCTCCTGACTAGGTTCATAGTTTCAGAGCAAACATTTTTTACAGTCATAAAGCAAAAACTTACATATTGCCTTATAGCACGTGATAAAGATGTTATAAGTGAGATTAATGCATGCAGCAATTTACAAGCATTTCATAAAGTCTAAACACTAAACGCATTGTTATAAGTCCAATACCATTGTAACCTTACTAACACACGGGTGAACCAGACTGGTTTCCAGCAACGAATTTGTCAGTGCTTGGCTGAGGCCTAAAGCTTTGGCAAGAGCAGTCAGCTGGTCTTGATTAGCATTTTGCTCAGACTATAAATAGGCATTCATTGTAAAGTATACAATACTCAATTTACATGGAGACAGACCGATAGATAAACCAGTTTCTTTCAGGCAGAAGATGTTTATCAACTTCTGGTGATGGGCCCCAATTCACAGACCGTAAAAATGTAATTTTCAGCATACATACATAACTCCTTACATATTATCCGTACATAAATTTCACAATGATTATGATGAGCCGTGTGACACAGGCTTCTGGTAGAGACCTTGTATAACATGCTTTGGTGAACTAGTATGTAGATACCAGATGCAATGGATCCTTGTAACCCTATGTTGCCCTCTTCCTGTCAGCATCAAGAAGTCCCTTGGTCACAAACAACAAACAGCATTTAGATTATAATACATAATGGATGTCAAAACCAAAACATATGAATACAAGCAAACCTAATTAAACTGGGATTGGTTTATTCATGTCTCAGCAGCTGAAAGTTATATGCTAACCAGTGACAGAGCAGGTGCAGCATGCATCATTGACTAGAGTATTCAAAACTGCTGTTTTATTCAACTCCAAATAAAATAAAAAGTGCAAGCTATATCGGATGAACTCAGTCATACCGTAATTAGATTGCATAATTCCAAAAAGCTAATTTTGATCCTGGAATACTTTTATATATTCAACTTGCTGTGGCAAGTCACACCAAGCCATAGAACGATCTAACAAATGTCAGAAGTCCCTATGATGCAAACCACAAGGAATCCAAGAGTATGGGGATGTGCAAGGTTCCTTACATTTAGAAGAAGAGTACTCACATTTTCATAATCAAGTCTCTGGACTTTTGTAAATCACTCTGCTGTTTAAGAGGCAGCCCCACAACATTGTTTCAGTGGCGGTGTGATGTGCAGAGGCAGGCAAGTTCTAGTGAGCGCTTTGCTAAAGGTCATGTGGAGCAAAGGACCTGGGGAGCCACCACCGCATAGGGAGATGTGACTATTTATCCTTAATGTTAAAAAGGTTGCACTCAACCCCTCTATAAGGCAAATTCAGCCTTAGTGTGAATGCATAGAACTCCACTGAAGTCAATAGTGTTTCATATATATGCTAGGTTTGAATTTGGTGCTACATTGTAATGAGACTGTAATGCTCTGAAAACCCTAAAACAGAAATATGAAGGGCCCTAGCACTCTGTGCACAACTCTCATTGATACCAATGGAAGATCCGTGTGAGCATCTAGGCCAGTATATAGCGCTAAGTCTCCACAATATAGCTGATGTGGTTCTTAATGGAAACTTGAGGTCAAACATGATATGGCAATTATGGGCTAATCTGGAAAGTACAGGACATGATATTCTTCTTAGCACATGGTACAGTAAAGTGGATAAACACTACTCATCCTACAGTAAAACCCAATACAAATCAGTTTGAGAAGATCGGAATTAATCATTCAAAACTGACATGGCTATTCCCACAGCAACCACACCTCTGAAACTCTGTCCAATTTATTTGGCCAGCCCCACTGTACAATTTTCTGAGGTTATTAAGCCACAAAGTTGTAACTAGGACAAACATCATACCCGTGGCATACATAATTATATATAAAAAACAATTGGAAATATATGAACAGAAAAATACATTTTGAAATGTAATATCAGTTAATTTTATGATTAATAAACGTGGAAGTTCATCAGTTGGGAAATGCTGAATTACGTTCTATGCTCATTCTGCTTTCCTTGAAATAAATGAGAGTTTTTTTGCTTGTCTTGTCTATTTGAGATTGAGAAAGGACTGTTTTTTACTAGGTTTTTGTTCAGTACCTAGCACAGATGGGGCCCAAATCTCAGAGGGGGCCTCTAGGCGCTATTGCAATATGAATAATTATAGTTTAGAAAGCAACCATATGTTTCTAAAGAGAGGATTAAAATGATGGGGTAAAATCCTAGCCCAGTGAAGTTAATGGCAAAACATCCACTGACATCAATGGAGCTAGTTTTTCCACCCTGATGTCTGCATAACACCAGCCTGGTGTCAGAGGGACACTGCTGTTGGAGGCTCTTGGCTAAATTCTGCTCAGTTATACTAGTATACAGTTGAAGTAACTCGACTGATGTCAGTGGAGTCAAACCAGAGTAAATCTGGAATAAATGAGGGCAGAATTTGATGCTTTGTCTTTCAAATGACATGCAAAACCAAGATCCTTTCTCCACTAGTGATCATGCAGCATTTTTCATATCTGCAAGGCATTAGCTCTGGTATCCTGGCCAAAATCCAGCTTGGGTAATCATTTGTAATAAATAAAATAATATTTCACATGTATACATCATGGGTGTTATTCTCCCTATGTTATAGATAGGGCAACTGAGGCACAGAGAGGATAAGTGACAGGCCCACAGTCACAATGCAAGTCAGTGGCAAAGCCAGGTATTAGAACCCAGGTGTTCAGACACTCAGTCTTTTGATTTATTCACATGACAATGACCTTCCAAAACTGCATTCTGCCTAGCTGAGATGGGCAATTTCATTTTTGGTTGGATCAACTATCCTTCACTTCCTGTCCTGAAATGTGTAGGGCGGCTATGTCTGTCAATTGTTGCTATGTTTCAGCCCAAAGACTGATGAAGTCACTTGTGAATAGTTTGTATATCAGTCTGCTAGGTTAATGATCCTTTTGAAGGAAAGGTGTTCTATAACTGTGAAAGATTCTGATGGGAGTTAAATTGTGTGTACATTAGGGGCAGAATGTACCCAAGAGGCGTATGAAGGATGTGATTATTTGCAAGACATTTTTATGGAGATCTAAGAAATGAACTGATTCATCCAATGACACTATAATGTATTTCCAGTATTGATCAGAGAAAAATTTATTTACAGAGATTTTCAAATACAAACATAATAGCACATTTATATTTTTTTTTACAAAAATGAATATTGAAATAATAAACATGGTACAGCACAATACAACAACAATGAGCTAAACGTAACAATGACCAAATCTATATCTGGAAGACGTTTCCCATTAGTCTTACGTAACCAACAATATCCTACAGTACCATGAGTGGAATTCTCCCTGGACTGAAAGATGTCCATTTACTGCCCTTCATAACAGTACTATAGGCAAAGCCCCTATATATGCTGAGTAAAATGTTGCATTTTTGTAATAATGCTGAAAACACAGAAGCTAAATAAAAATTCTATAGGGCTGAATAAGCAGTGAATAAATGTTTTGGGAAAAAGAGTAGAGAGAATATACAAAATACTGTTAAAGTGGCTTATTGGTCCATTTATTAGGTTTCATGTGTAGTTTAAAAAGTGGTATAACATTGAATTTTAAACCATCAAATGAATAAAAAAAAGAAAAAATGCACCAATAAGTTTGCATTTTATTTGTTCTGTGCCATGGTCTATACGGGTGTGTGTGTGTGTGTATGTGTGTGCACGCACACTTTCAGGAGTGTTGTGCTTAAGGGGAATTTTGGAAGATTTATACCCTACCCAAAATATTATTTTCACCAGTCTTTCAATTCATTGGTACACCCATACCTTCACAATTTAACAAAGGGGAGCATTCCTTGCTCGTAAAATTGTATTCTTCTAGAACAGACCAGAAATATACTCTGTCAAGCAAGAACTGCCCATGCCTTCCGAGAGTCACAGCATTTGGTCCAGCTTTCCAGACTCCCCACCCTCCCCACAATTCACAGTGTCACCTCACGTCCTTGACCAGGTCCATTCTCATTTCATAATGGCTGTTCTGCAGCTAGGAGCTAAAGCGCTTTGTTCAGAAGAAGAAGTCTGCAAGTCACTTCGGCCTCTCGAAGCTCATTCATTCTCTAAACTGGACTCTCAGGCCACCAGCCTCAGTAAGGGTACTGTTTCTGTTTCTTGCCAGAGAAGCAGGCCAACCAAGTGCAGATTAACATAGCGGCAGCTGCTCCTCCTCCGGTGCAGTAGTAAGCCCAGCCAATTTCACAAGTACCTAAGATGAACAAACAAACCAAGGAAACAATGTTTTATTCAAGGAGAGAGGTTTGCTTTCACCATAACTTTATAAGCTCTTTCCTTTTGGAGGGAAATGAAAGCAGAAGTAACCAAATACAGCATATAGTGCTGTGTATTTTATCCCCTGTATCAGCTTATTAGTTTCATTCTCCTTGTAAGCAACTTATATTTATACACCTCCATCCAAAGCCTTCCTATTCTGGTAGAAGGCAGCCAGATATCGGTGCTATCTAGGTGCCCATCTATCTAGGTGCCCACGAATTTGGTGTCTGAGCATACAAGAACTTTCTTGCCTTTTTTTTGTATTAAATGTAATGCTAATGCGAGGTACTGGAAGGCTGTAAATATCTCAGGGCAGTGACTGCATCATCTTATGCATTTATGTAGTGCTTAACACACTTGTCTTGCCTGGCCCTTCTCAGCACTATTGTAGTAAGTAAAATACTGAACATGGCCACCTGGAAAAGGTACAAGTCATTAAATGATACAGATCCACAGAATCCTGTCTATAGTATGGCTAATTAGAATTGGCATAAGCACTTCAGGATCTCATAGCTATTTACAATATGGATTTATTACACGGTGTTTATATGGACAGAAAGTCTGTGTTAGAATGTAGACTTGAGCCAAATAGGTTCTCTAGGGTCCTTTTACCAATATACACAGCATCAAATCCAACAGTGAATCTGGGCTATTGCCAAGGAAATATAAAATTCTGGAACTTCCCCCCCTCCCCCGAGTAGTTGTGAATGGATGTGGGGAGCCAAATTCATCCTTGGTATGACTTCTAGCTTGTGATAAAAGGAGTTGATTCACAGGGCCCCACACCCTGTTACTAGCTCAGTGTAGTCAGTAAACCAAAAAGATTAGATCGGTCTATGCTGGAGTAAGTATTCAGTTCATGGGTTTAGCCTGGTAACTTCCATTCACTTTAACATGAGGCAGACAACTTAAACTACACCAGCCACTTCCAAAATGGAGGCATGTTGTCCTCATCCTGGAAAGAAATGCAGATAGGCAGGCCCTTGTATCTGCACAGGGCCTCACTGATTTCAGTGGAGTTGTGTAACCCACACACCTCCTGGGTGTGGTGTTCTGTCCCATCTAGTGGCACCGAGACCATTTAGAAAGAGAGAGAGAAAGAGATTAATAAGTCTGCTCTTCAGCCATAGCTAACAGACATATGGCTTTTAGCTCATGCAGTAGAGGCTCATGCATTTGGTTCCAGGTTCGATCCCGCCCACTGATGACCGGGGTCTGTTGGTATTACAGTTGCACATGCGTCGCTGTGTGCATTTCTTGCAGAATGGTAGCCTACATTTCCAAACCTCAATGAATAAAGATATTTAAACTTCACTGTACACTACTCCTCTTTCCTCAGACTGCTGGAAGGGACAGAGCTGTGGAGTCTGCCTGTTAGAAATTTTCACACCTGAAGCAAAACTGGTGAATCTATGAAGATAGAACCCCCCCACCCCCTTTCTCTAGTGTAGTTATACAAGTCTGTCATAATAAAAAGCAGGGCTTCTGGGCCTTTCTTTAAAAGAATGCTTCTAAAACAACAACATTTATAAAACTGTGAAATTTCATACTGCAAAAATGCCCCAGTCTGCTGCACCATTTCCCCAAAGAAGGAAACTCAACAAGTTTTGGACAGTTCCACTAAAATAGAGAGGACATTGCCTTAAACTGCATAAAACAAGCATGTGCAAATGACTGGGCCTTTATTACCTTTTTGCATAATGAAAGAGCAGGAGTGTTTTAGGCTGCTGGTGAAGAGAGACTTTAAAGAGTGAAAAGTATCACCAGAGCGGATTCCTTTGGGTTTCAGAGGAGTTCCAAATACAACCAAGAGGCTGCTCTTTATTGACCTGAGGTGCAGTGCTCCTTCTAGAGTTCTGTCCACCTATATTTAATTCACCCAAACAGGGAATATTCAGTTGGAGGATTTGGTTTGCCTACAACCCTTTCAAGAAATGAAAGAAGCAAAATTATTTAAAATGTTCCCCTTCGCTGTCTATAATGGCTCATCAGACAAGCCTCAGAGCTTACTTGGTTGGCAAATAGCTGTTTTCAATGCAGGGGAAAACTACACTTGACAGTTAAATTAGAGGTTGCTGGCATTGAAAATAGGTTAGCAGTGGAGCAGACAGCCCCACTGCCTGCCAAGTCCAGAGAGAGAGGCTGTGGGGCTGGTTTCCACAGCAGCTGCAAATCAGAAGGGTCGATGTTTTTTATTTTGTTTTGTTTTCTTGGTGTCTTTTTCTGCACTACAGACAGCTTTTGAGTCCCTTTGTGTTGTTGTAGCAGAGCACTGGGTCTCACTGCAAATAACTCAGTTCTGGAACTTTTACATGCCTCCTCGGAAATAACTGCACGAATCATCCTCTGCCCTTATCATAACTGGTCTAAAAATTGTAACGAAGTTCTAAACTGCTACCCAAAACTACCCCCAGAGTGCCATTGCAAGCAGCCTTGCCTCACTGTTCCCCATGCCAGTCATACTTAGGGCTGGTCTACACTTACCGGGTAGTTCGACGGCTGGCAATCGAAGATCCGGGTTCGATTTATCGCGTCTGGTCTGGACGCAATAAATCGAACCAGGAAGTGCTCGCCGTCGACTGCGGTACTCCAGCTCAATGAGAGGAGTACCGCGGAGTCGACGGGGAGCCTGCCTGCCGCGTGTGGACCGCGTCTGAACCGCGGTAAGTTCGAAGTAAGGTATGTCGAATTCAGCTACGTTATTCACGTAGCTGAATTTGCGTACCTTACTTCGACTTGGGGGGTAAGTGTAGACCAAGCCTTAGTGGTCCAAATCTGGATGTTGATTTGCTGTGTGGCATGGAACTGCCTGTAGAGACCTGGGACCCAGTTTGATTCCACAGATGAACAGTACAACCAAAAGTCTGATTGGGGGAAGGCGCACATGTGGCTATTCTCTGTCCCCAAACCTCTCCCCCTGCTCAGGGGATGGAGTCCAGGAACCCACTTCCTTATGCCCTTGGGGATAGGAGGCACTGCAGGCACAGAGCCATCACAACTCTGTTGCAGGAGTTGGGAAGAGGGGCGGGGGGAGATTCCCTGTATGGTGTAGAGGAATTTAAAGGAGACCACGCAGCCTGAGATCACCACCAGCTCAGAAATGGAATCGTCAAATGGAGAAGGCGCAGCCTCTATCTGGGAAAAATTGCCCTACTGGAGATCAAGGAGAGCAAGGAGACATCTGCTTTCCCACCTCAGGACACCTACCCATCCTACAGGTCATTTTTATTTGGGCCAGATTGAGGCAATCCTGGGTCCTAAGCACACCATGATACAGTGGCCCCTGCAGCTCAGTTTTCATGGTACATTTTGAATGGAGGTGGCAGGTGGCCCCCTTCCCTCCCATAGAGGCAAGGGCAGCAGCATGAGGCCCTCTTCCTCCCTCCAGGAGCAGCAGCAGAGGTGACAGCAGGTGTCCCCTCTGCCCTCTAGAAAGGCAGGGTTGGAAGCTGGTTACCCCCAGGGGCCAGGGTGTAGCTGGGCTGGGGGGTCAGGCCACAGCCCTGCCACACACATTCTGGGCACACCTCATTCTCTGTTGGGTGGTTTTGGCAGCACTCCTAGAGCAGCGGATATTGGAGTTCAGAACCTATGAAGATGAATGGGAAGCTCTCACCTCTGAGAGCAATTGTGTCAGGCTGTCTGCAGGACCACAGCACTGTTACACTTGTTGCATGTTTTCGGGGTTTTCTTCACAAGCCTGAGGCCTGGAAACTGTTTCCAAAAAAAAAAAATAAAAAAAGAGAGAGAGCTGCGATTCTGACACAATCAGATGACTTGAGGATCTGGGCCCTATGCATGGGCCTATACAGCCTATGCCTTAATCCAGCCTTGGGAGGGCAGCCAGACTTAGCAACTTGCTAGGTCCCACTTTTGTGGTTACTCCGTAAGGATTAATACCACCCTCGGTGGTGGCCTCTGTGGCTCCTGTGAGGGACCAGAATCCTTTGAGTGTTGCCAAATGGTGGGAAGCTTGGCTGAAGGAGGACCTTAGCCATCCAATCCCAGAAAAGGTGCGAGTCCCACAGTGGAGCAGGTGTGGAGATCCTTCAACTCCCCTACACCATGGAAAGTCTGGCTGGTGCAGAGCCAAAAGTAAGAGTTTAGCCTGCCTGTGCTCTAATGTATAGGGCTTATTCCAGTATGTGTTCCTGACTATTGACAGCAATTTATAACACCGATATACCCCCTAAAGGATCCCACATTCCTTTCCAATCTACCTTCCCACCAAAATAAGCTTATTTGCCACATCAGAGGGAGAATCTGCAGCCTGATAATAATGCACAGCAACATCACAAAACAGTTAGTGAAGAAGAATCCTGTCACGAATGGAAAGTTCAGGTGGAATTCAGGCAAGCAGAATGCAGTCACTAAGGTCAGAATGTTTCTCTATGTTCTCAGGCTATTGAGGAGGAAGTGGGAAGCTGTTTTTATATATATTATATTCTGCTGTATTACTTTGTGTGTTTTAACCTCTGGGATACGTGCCCAGAGATGATGATTGGTGCAGATAGCTGGATTTTACAACAGAGAACTCTTATCTAATAACTATTGCTTGTACATGGAAAAATCCATTCTTTTGCCTCTGCACAAGCATAACAACAATTTCAGCTGGGATTTTCAGAAGAAGCTGGCAGACCAGGTGTCAAGTCATGCCAAGGCCCCCAGGCCTCACTGAACACTGACAAATGCATATCTGGAAACTAATCTGGCTCACCTGTGTGTTAGTACTGTTAAAATAAGTATTAGATTTATAGAGATGTTTAGTGTTTGGACTGTATGAAATGCTTGTGAATTGCTATATGCATTAATCTCACTTATAATATCTGTACCCCATGATGTATAGTAATATTTAAGTGTTTGCTTTGTAACTATTGTAGTGTTTTCTATGAAACTGGAACATTCCTCCCCCCCCCCACCCGAGTCAGGAGAGAA